CCGTTAGTGCATGCGCCATGCTACGTCATTGCTCTATCACGTACGCACAGTCGCTTCGCGCAATATAAGGTTTGCTAGCTGCGGGACGAGTGGGAAACTTACTTTGTGGACACGCCTCGTAAATCGACGAGACCGTTCATGACAAGAGCTTTGAATTAAAGCTTTCAACACAGATCCGCAAAACACCGAAGCCACGTAACAAATTGCGCCCAACTAACGATGTTATTAATACAATCGATCTGTAAATAAACGCGTAACTTCGTCCCACAAAACACTTTCATGTTTCATTCTCATACAAATTTTTAAGACGCATTTTGCTGTTCAACAGTACTTTCCACTCAGATCAAAACCTATCAATTACAAATGTAACAATTTCGCTAAATAAAACAATTAAATATATGAACACCTTTCCAGACAAAATTCAATTCCATCATACGTAATCCACGTATGAGCTTGTATTTAAAGGCACACCCACGAATTGCAAATGCAATGTAGATTTTCGGACAAACCACGTATTTTTCCTTTCACATGCATCGCCATATTTATGTTTCGCATAGGAGATCGTGGATTGGACACACAAGACAGCTCCAAGCAGGAGACGCAGATGACACACTAGCAGTATGAGACTCGAGTCGCCGAAGACATACAGACTTCCCTTAAAAACAGTTCATTTCAAACAAGTTTTAACAACAGCGTCCTATCCTAGAGACGGCACGCGAACACACGCATCTCGAATCTCATCTCACAAATTCCCATCCCATTACAAATTTAAAATCCCAAGGTTCGTGGAACTTCAATTCTTAACCCGCATATTGGAAAACTAAGTGAGATGGATTTCTTTAAAGAGTTCCATCCCTTCCACGCCATTCTCAGGAGAGGGGGCGAGGAGTAGAGTGGGGATGGGGGAGAGACCAGCACATCCCGGGGATGCTGTTGCCGCTGGACCAGTTCTCGAACGAACCCGCGTGCGGTAGGACGACAGAGCTCGGCACTCGGTACACGTCTTGGTGCAAAATGTACGAGTCAGTCACGAAGCCAGGCCAGTGAGTCGACAAGAAATGCAACCCCACGTAATAAACTTCGCCTTTACTGTGACCAACGCGACACTTAGAACGTAGTACATATTTCAAGTTTTCAGTCGAAGTTAAACGAATGGGGACTCCCGTGGTTAAGAAATGGCAAATGAAGTGTTGAAAACGTGTAAAATCGACAGGAGACAGTATGAAACGTCTGTAACCGTCACGGAATGCCTGGAATCGACAGCAAATCACGGGATCTAGATTTTAAAAACGTACACAATAAAAGTTCTTACTTTTTAATCTCCTAAAGCAATATACATTATTCAGATTAAAATTTGTGAAAATAGTGTAAAGTTCAGAGGAATTAGTATCAAGTGGTGATGGTTATTCACAGAAATTAACCAATCAAGGCGAAATATGACAGACGAGTCCGTTAGGTCACTCTTACTGCATTATCGAAAGAAATTGGAGCATGTGACGTCAGACTGGAATCAACGTATTATCACCTCCACGAAGATCTCCAGATTCAAGTTCTAACTGAATCAGCAAGGTGGCCACAGGTGAGTAAATGATACTCTGGTAGTGTAAACAAAGGTTCGGGATCTGAAGTCAGCCCTTGAATTGAAGGGTCCAGTGCATAAGACAGGTGCTTCCACCATAAGGACCTTCTCGAACACAACGAGAACATGTTAAAAGAATTCAAATAACACAACTCCGCGTGGATCCATTTTCACAGTAAAGATTCCAGCACTGGAACCTTCGATTACAGCTGTGTTGACTTTCAAAGACGGTGAAAGGATATGATTCTGGGTTTTTGCGCTGTGTAGTACGGTATCGCCCTGATGACGGAGGCAGTATGGCCTCCGAAACGTTGGTTAACATCTACAAGAATACACGGCGCAACAACCCAGAAGACAGAAATCTTCATACTCTGATGACGGAGGCAGTATGACCTCTGAAACGTTGGTAAACATCGACCAGACTACACAGCGCAAGAACCCAGAAGACAGAAATCTTCATACTCTGATGACCGAGGCAGTATGACCTATGAACTACACAGCGCAACAACCCAGAAGACAGAATCTTCATACTCACAGCTATGAAAACCTCAAATCATACGGGGCATAGATTCTTTACGTTGATAAAAAAGGTTGAAAGTTTCGCAGTGGCATTTCAGAATTTCACGAATACGCGGTAAAGGACGATGCAGACCTGCACCGGAAGTATTTGATATGTTTACTGAATAAAATATTAATTCTCCGAGTTCCCGTATTTTTGAAGGGGAAGCCACAGACACGGTGATTAAAGAACTAGCGTTACCTAAATCGACACTGAAAGTCGAGGCGTATAATACGAACCAGAGCATCAGAAAACTTCCGTCTGACGTGAATAAACAATTCAAATCAATGTAATACTGACCTTTTGTAAATACTATCGCAGAAGGCGCATTGCCTGTCTTAAACAGAGAGCAAAGTCCAGATGTAGGACACGGGATTTTACTTTCTCAGTCGGTGAGCCAATGATAAAATTATGTCAGTGCAGACTTGTTTTTACTCATAGAACCCTAAGCCAAATATTTATATTGTGATATTTATTTATCCTCTAAACGTACGTGATTTTTGGGGCATAATTAAGGGCAATTAAAAGTAATATTTACAATTCCGTTATTGCCTTTGTACGTGTGCTTATAAAAGCGAATAATTCTGGTCACTGCAACTCGCGATGTCCTTAATGAATTCAAGATTTTCAGTAATCGACGTACACAAGTTTATCGATTAAACATCGATACTTCGCTCCATGGTTCGTAAGACAAAAGTTTTGGGTCACGAATTAATTTGCGGCTGACAGTACCTAAAATAAACAAGACGATGATGATAATAAATGCATGACTGTACTGATTATTTACAAGCTAATAGTCGCTCATCTAGTCACGAATGTATCGTAGGATAATTACAAGTCCGAGGTTCCGCGTTCATTTTGTAACATGGCACATTTTGAGGGCAACGGGAGATGCCCGACTGCTTATTGTCGACGAAAACACTCCCAACAAACATCTCCATTCATCACAACACCTTTTCAATCCACGTACATTCATTTTTCAAAACTGAAATCCGATGTTTTGTTCACTTTCACTCCTGGGCCACGTCACGATGAAAGGCACGAACTAATTAATATGTTCAGTCGCACAGAGTGTTTTGATCACAGTTATAAAATGCCAGAAAAATTATATTCACGTACAGGTATACCTGTCAGGTATGCCTCAACGTGTAGATGATAAAACCGAAGAGTAACTGTAACCTCAGATTTACAGCCTAATTCTACCGCCACATACGACATCAAAACAAAAAAAGTTTAATTCTACAGAACTTTATAATAAAAAACATCGAGCATAAATTTAATTTTAAGAGTGAGGTTATGCTACAAGCATAGTATGATAGTATTTACCGACGTTTCAGATATGCTTGCTGCCACCATCAACAGAGCGTCCTGACGATGGCAGCAACAAGCAACTCTAAAACGTCGGTAAATCTCTATGACAAAACACGGAACAACAACCCAAAGACAGTCCCTACTTCCTTATTCACGCGAGAACCTAACATATCGCAACCATAAGACCGACTCATCGGGGATTTTAGAAACAAGGACACTTAAAACAGGAATTCGTGTCGAACTCGTACAAAATTAAATGAAAAAGACAAGGGTAATCAAATTTAATATGTTATACTAATGTTGAGCATATAGCGAGCATTTGAAAAGTAAAAAATTGTGCTCATATCTCAAAATCATTTTGGCTGTTATGACATGAGAGACCCACAAAATTATTAACTTGTAACAAAAACGTCCTCATATCAGAAAATAATAAAATAAATGAAATTCTATGCCTCGCTGATTTAAAAATGAAGAGATTTGTGTTCACAATTCAGCAGGCCAACCTAAATCGGTGTTCCTGAGAAAATGTATCTTCTTTATATAAGCAGATTCAGCTAGAACCACGATTTTAAAAAAGTGGCAAGACACTTGCTTGCCAAAGAAAGCTGGAACAAAAACGTGTTCCATTAAATCATCATTTAACAATGTAAGCAGAACTGCAGACGAAACAGAGTATCAGTACATTAAATAGTAAGGAGGTATTCTAAACCTCTTTAAAAGAACTGAGAGAAGACACCGACATTTTAGCTCAGGATATCGGGCGTCACGATAGAGATTCGAACCGAGTGCCTCCCGAATATAGGCCAGCCTGCTGTTCAGCTATAAGTGCTTTTTAAATTACGGGACTCAAACCAAAAAACTACACTCGCGCATGCGTCTCAAGTGAACTGATCTGCTCACCTGTTAAGTGATGTCGCTACGTAATTGAGCTGTCGTCTGCCCGCAGCCACTAGCTCGACACAACCCTCCAACTCCACATCACGAACTGGGCTACTCGTTCCTCAAATTCGTGCCTCTTCCTACCGACAGTGGCGTTAGTGTAGTTCAAATATGGCACCTTTCGTGTGGGAAATGCGATAGTTACGTGTCGTCATCATTTCTAAACCGTTTATAATTTCGCACAGTTTCATATAGACCTTTGTGTAGACACCACGTGAGGACTTGCACACGCATATAAACAATGTATGAGTCCATGCACATATTACCACAAGCGGTTCAAAATGGCCGCCTCCGTTGCACACGACAGACATGACGTATTAACAAATAACACATCTTGATAGCAACAAACGAATTAAAGTAACAATTGAGCCCGGATTATTGTCACAGCTCTTAAATGTAACTCACACGTAAACTGCTTCTCGTCTTGAAGTGCTTAGGCACGATCATAAACCGGTTTGGCTACACCAAGACATTATTAAATGCGTCTTGTGGAAGTAATATAAGTAGGATAAAATCATGAGCGAAATAATATCCAAACTGAAAGGCATATCACATGATTAACACACTTTGAACACAGAACGTTCAACAATCAATTAACTGTCAATTAAACAGAAAATGCCGCTATGAGGTAATCTTAAAGCTGAACCCATTAGAACACATAAAAGCCTGTCGTCTGTTGTTCGTTCAGTGGTTGTGGAACGAATGCTTGTAGGATCGGTCGTCACTCACAGCGAAATCTCGCGCATGCGCGTATATCGAATTCCTAGCAGGGATATTCTCCTGGTCTGTAGACTGTACTTCGCACCTAACATTCGCAACGCAGTAACTCGAACACAAAGCATTCAGGTAAAATAAAAAGCTGTTACTCGAATTGAAATAGACGTGCGTGTTGGTTGCTCGAGATACACGTTCATTAGTTCATTAGTTTCCTCCTCGCCCGTTATCACACTGCAGGCGCTGCAGGGGGGAAAACAAACGAAATTTAAGGTGAAATCCACGTCCTCCAATTAAAACATGGTGTGCTATCCGGCTCGCCTGATCATACTTGAAGGTTGAGGGTTCGACGGAAACTTAAAACACATCCACAACTAATCTTAAAGGCGAAGTTTAAAGTTAAGGCAAAGAAACGTATGACAGATTGTAGACTAAGGACAGTTTTAAAATATGTACAAAAAGATACACAGTAGAATGTTCGGGAAAAGAAACAGGGAATCATTCCACACTGCGAATTTTATATATGAATAAACATATATCATATATTCTCTGAACATGGCTGCACAGAATACAGATGTAACCTTATTGAATATTGACCTTATAAAAGGAGACAGTGCGTTATTAAGGCATGGAGAACGAACCTGACATTTACATAAACACAATTGTTAAGTTGCTATTGCGAGATTTGTTTCGCGTGTTCCGAACTATTCAGACGCTCTCCACAGGCCACAACGCCGTGTCGTCCAGAAAACGCGTTGCTGGCTGCAGAGTTCAGTGTTTGGAAGGCGACAATCATCCAACAAGTGGGATAACGTGAAAGTTACGTTCCAAACGCATCACCACGTGACGTAAGAGCGCCAGACATCAGGACGCAACTACCCGGAGCCCCCGATCGAACAGAGTTCGTGTTGAGAGAGAGCGGGTAATTAAAACATCAGGGCAGATATGAAATGCTTTATTTAGAAAACGCAAATCAGACCCGAGGCGTTTGATACTGCACTGTGGAATAATCAGTCGATGTGAGGGGAATAATCCTGAACGTTACATCCGCTTTATAAGTTATTTCTCGATTTACTTAGTCGATCCTTTTCTATCGCTTGGTGTAGAGGTAAGTTATCTCTCGCCGACTATAATTTAGAGAATAAACTGGTTTTTCAGCTTAAAGTTCGCGTCCAGATTCTTTTATGAAGTTTGTATAACTAAGAAAAATTAAAAACACGACTTGTAAAGACTTTTCCTGAAACTTGCGTTAAAGAATTATACCTTTTTGCCGTGGAACCAACCGCCACGGTGGTCTAGCGGTTAGAACGCTGGCCTTGTAATCCTGGGGTCTCGGGTTCGATTCCCGGCGGTGCCCGAATTTATAACTTGTGTTGGGCAAGGCCGTGGTCTAGGTAACACGGAGTTTACCTCCGGGGGCTTCCCCGGTTTCTCCGTGGCATCCCAACAATTACTCCATTCACACACAGAAGAAGGC